ACAGAAATACAAAATAGGACTGGGGATCTGGAGTTGTGGCTCAGTGGCAGAGCAGTTGCCTCACATGCATGAGGAACAGGGTTCAATTCTCACCATCACATATAAATAAATAAATAAAGTCTATTGACAACTAAAAATTAAAAAAAAAAAAGGACTGGAGATGTGGCTCAGTGGTTTAGTGCCCCTGAGTTCAATCCCTGGTACTTAAAAAAAATTAAAAAATAAAAACCCACTGACAAAAATCCTTGAAAGAATGTGAATTTTCTCTAAAAGTCAAAAATCATGGTAGTTAAGAAAAAAAGAAATCACAATATTTTGGGGTTTTCTTATGCTTATTTTATTCTTAATTACAGATTAAGAGCTGGATACTATATATTTTTTTTTAATATGTAGGGCCTAAAAGTCTGGATCTGAGTCTATTCAGTTTCCAATAGATTTTGTAATAACTTCCATGAAAATTCTTTCATGAGTCATAGATAAGGCTCAAATCCTAGCTTTGCCACATTAAAATGTTACACATGTGTTAATTTGCTTACAGAATATTATATTGTTCTTTAGAAACAAAATGTAAAAAAATAACAGAAACATTGAAAGAGAGCTATCTTCTCTGACTTCTTGTAGACAAAAAAAAAAAATTCCATCCAACTTTTCACATTTTCCTCTCCTTTCTACTTCTATTTCTAATACTTGTTTCATAAAATACTCAAAGAACACATCGAAAAATCTGGAGCTCAATGTCTAGAGTTAAAATGTCTGTTTTTCAAATAAACACAATCTGGCATATTAGTTAAAAGCGATCATTTTCTAAGGTTCACATTTCCCTTTTTATAATAGTAAATTAATTCCAATAATGAATGATGTTGACAATGTTATTAAAACCCACAATTTTACAATGTTTCTTATTTTCAAGCCCGTGCTTGCCATGTGAATGGTTTTTGTTTTTTTTTAAAGAGAGAGAGAGAGTGAGAATTTTAATATTTATTTTTTAGTTTTCGGCGGACACAACATCTTTGTGTGTGGTGCTGAGGATCAAACCCGGGCCGCACGCATGCCAGGCAAATGCGCTACCGCTTGAGCCACATCCCCAACCCCCATGTGAATGGTTTTTGATTAAAAAGACTTGAGTTTGAATTCTGGCTCTACCTCTTACTAGCTATGTGTGCCTGAATAAAATCTTAATCAATTTCTTTACATGTAAAGCACCACCTACCTTCCAGTATTGTGACAATATGTAAATTACCTCACAGAGAGCTTTTTGTGTACTAGTTGTTCATTAAATAGAAGTATGGTTATTATTATAATTAGCTGTCATGTTTGCTGATATCTACTCATTAAATAATTTCACTATTTTCTTCTTAAGATGTGTCCTACTTTTTTTTTTCCTGGCTTGCAAAGCTACTGAGATAGGCTGGTGTGTGTTATACAATGTCTTTTGAATTAAAAACAAAACAAAAAAACTCACTAGGCCAGGCGCAGTGGCACACACCTGTAATCCCAGCAACAGCAGCTTGGGAGGCTGAAGAATGAGGATCACAAATCCAAAGGCAGTCTTAGGAACTTAGCAAGGTCCTAAGCAACTCAGCGAGACCCCATCTCAAAATAAAAAAAAAAATAAACGGCTGGGAATATGACTCAGTAGTTAAGCACCCCTGGGTTCAATCCCCGGTACACAAAACAAAAACCAAACAGACAAAAATCTCACTGGACTATCCTAAGATATATTAAAAAGAGGGAAAAGTAGGCAGTTTTGAATTTTCAAATTCTGAAACATTTTACTGAACACCAGTAACGTGACAGTGAATTATAAAAATGCAACTTCTGTCTACCAATATCCTGATCATTTTTTAATATTTTTTTTAGTTGTAGATGGACACACACACACACACAAAAAAAGTCTTTATTTATTTATTTTTTTATGTGGTGCTGAGGATAGAACCCTCTGCCTCACACGTGTGAGGCAAGCACTCTACCACTAAGCTACAGCCCCAGCCCTATTCTAATCATTTTTTCGCCCCGTCAACCTCTTTAAATTTCACCTAGTAGTCTTGTTCGGTTTTTACAGGGAGAGTTAACTTCTGAACAATTAGTACATTTTAGTAGTTTTTCTGCTGTCCTTTTCAGCAATAAAGACTCTAAATTTTTGTGTATTTGTTTTATATTCAGGTCACCAACTGGTGCATTGGTACCCACAAATAGCTCTCATGGTCTGGTTGCCATGGTCACATTTTCTCCTCAAAACCCACCTGCACATACACACCACTTCACATCACATACTCAGCTAGGTTCAACAGCACATATCCGTCTCCCAGCTCTTAAGAGATTCTTTCCAGAAATGGACTTGGAAGAATCTCAGTAGATGGATGGGTGGGTGGATGGATGGATAGATAGATAGACAGACAGACAGACAGACAGATAGATAGATAGATAGATAGATAGATAGATAGAAGGATGGATAGAGAGAGAGAGAGATAGACATAAATATGCATATAAAACTGCATTTCACAAACTTTGAAAACCAAATTAATAAGTGATCATGTATGTCAGTATTCTTCCAACTGTTTTGACTGGAACTCAGTTAAAAATAGATCTTATGTCAGAATACAGCCAACATACCTAAATACATGAACATAAATATTTAAAACAGAAATAAATTACAGAGAACAACGGTAACTCTTGCCATGTGCAACAGTTTCTGACATTTTCTATTGTTTCATCTAAAATGTTGCTTAAGATTTACTGAACTAATCCCCCACAATAAAAAAAAAAAAAAAAACACTATTGCAGTCTAACATCTCTGCATATTAGAGATAAAGAAACTGAGACCCAAGGAAATAAAGGGTCTTGTCCTAGGTCACCAAGAGTGATAAATGAACAAGCCAGAACCTGACTATTCTAACTCCCTGCCCAAGGCTGTTTTCAACCCAAAGTGAAACAAACATTCTAAATACTCCCCTCAGATAGGACTGGGGATCTGAAGCCTAAAACATGCTGCTACACTGAGAAAACAGGAGTATTTTGATTCTAAACAATGGTGAATACTGACCTCAGCCTGAACCTCCAATTTAGGCAGGTTTAATTTTTTCTAACTCAAGTCCACGGCCTAGCATGACTTGGCAAATAAGCAAATTTTTTTTTCTTTTCATTAACCCTTTCTCCAGCCACTGCAAATAACACAGGAAAAGCCACCGTTCTTCTCAGAGTTAGTTTTACTTTGATTACACATGCACAGGCATTGTTTGTCCATGAGAGACTGGCTGGCTTAGACACAGGAGTGAATAGTTCCTCTCTGCATTTACCAGGCTCATGGACAGCTGTTTTCTTCCCCACTAAGGCTGCTTAATTAAAATTTAAAACATCAAAACCACATAGGTCAATACGTGGACGTGAATGATCCAGAGCCTATGAGATATTAATGCTACTAACACTAGCAACCCCGGGCACTTTTAAAGCCTCAGTTATAGAAAGTGGGATTGCTTAAGAACCGTCATTACAAACAGTATGGTAGCTTAAAATGTCAGTCTATCCACTGGCATCAGGTTGTGTGAGGTTTGTTTTTGTTATTTTGTTTTATATTCCTCCTTCTTATTGTGTGTGCCTGTATGGTCGGTCTGTCTGTCTGTGGATGCTGTTACAAGGAAGGAATCCTATAACAAGCCACAAACAGAGGCAGACTCCAGGGAACTGAAGGCCAAGCCTGGTGGTCCAGAGCACAAGAAGGCTTGGACCCTGAGCTATGGCAATGATCTCCCAGAAAACCTAACCCAGGCTCGGGAGGGTCGTGAGACGCACTAGCGGCGAAGAAGCAGCATGTGACCTGCCCTGAGCGCTGCGTGCCTCCTAGGGCACACGCAAGCCCCCAAAGCCCAAGGGCAAAGCGCTGGGGCCTCCTTAAATCAGAGCGCGCCAGCAGAGGGTGGGGTGCAAACTGCTGCGCAGCAGCTCCTGGGAGACACACAGACAGCAGGCGGGATGAAGGGCGGGCTGGAGAACCCTAAAATTAGTGCTCCGGAAGCAGGGGCAGTGCACCGCGGCGCGGAGATGGCGGCCACCGGAGCGCCGTCCCCAAGGCGCGCGGTCCCTCTGAGCCTTCCCAGCGCACGAGGACCAGGAGGGCGACCAATGCAGGAGGCAGGAAGAAGGAAGGAAGAACGTGGGACCACGTGTAGCCTCCTGAGACCCAGGGGTCCATTGCTCCTCCCCCAACTGCGGCAGAAATTTTAAGAGCTTCAGAATTTAAAACCCCAGAATGCTCCAGAATTCTTGTTGTTGAACTTGAAATTTGGTTACCTCGTTTTCAATGAGATCTTTCCTTTCCTGAGTTTTCATTTAAACACGTTTCTCTCCTCTCCCATTCCTCAAACAGAATGATGTTGCTCTTTGATTTGAGGAGGTCTGGGGGTTGTTTCTGTTTTAGTTTGGGGGGTTCCTTGTTTGGTTGGGGTGGTGGGGAGGTTGGGGGTGGAGTTTGCATTCGTATATCTCTTAGCAAGATAAACAGTTCTGAAGGTCAGATGGCTCCCCACTGGGCCCTCTGAAAAGATGAATGTACGCTGAGGGATTCTCCATCAACATTTTTTCTTGAAAATACAAATTGTTTAAGTCCCAACTATTTTAGATATTCCAATAATGCGTTGAAAACCTACCTTTTAATGATTAACTATTAGGAACATCCCAAAATACAATTATCAAGATTCTGAAAGCTATTATAAGGAAATCTGTGAAATGGAAATATGTGCTAGCCAAGATCAAATACAGAATTTAAAAAAAAAAAAAAAAAAAACTGTAGTTATATTTAGGACTACAAAAATGGTAAATTGAATGACACAATATTTGGAAACCAAAAGTCATTTAAGACAGACACACTTATTATATAACTAGAATTTTTGAATAATATATACATAGTAATGTTAAATCAGCCAGTAATACAACTTAAACATATTCACGGAGTGACATCTCATCCCTAGCATCTTTTAGCCTCCCCTCTGCAGTTGGCCCCTTACCTTTATTTTCAGAATCTTTCATTCTCTGCTTCCTCCCTCTGCTGCCAATAAGCAGAAAAGTCCAGCTGATTCTGCAACCCTGACTTTTGATTTGTCATTCACAGACAGTCAGCGGTCTCGGGGGCGAAGTCCCTCAGCGGAGGAGCACCCAGGCTATGATAATTGCATGCAAGTCAGTGTGCGGGGTTATAATTTTGCTTATGCTAGAGCGGAAAGGATGGGGATGAAGGCAGACATAAACACAACTTCCAAAACATGGCATGGAACCGGATCCGGAGCCAGACTTGCCTTTCCTTCCCTCAGGGTAAGGAACCAATTGTTTAGCGCCTCCTTGCCTCAGGAGAGATTTGGTTCACATTGAAAGGGCAATGTCTATGCCTTGTGCTGGGCTTCTTTTCAAACAGTAACTGCATTTTTAAAGGGGATTAGGAGCCCTGTGTTTTGTTTCCTCTTACATATTCATTCATTGCTTCATTCATCTCTTCAACAACATTTTTTACCGATGTGGTTCAAGAACCATGCTAGGCAGTGAGGATACAACAGTGCACTGAGACCGGTCCCCAGTACTCACAAGTGCTCCCAGCTGTTCTGAAACAAAAGCATAGGGTGCAATACAAGGATCTGGTGCATGGACACAGATTACTGAATTCATTCCCCCCAGGTGTAAGTAGACAGTCAAGGAGACTTTGGTTGGTTGTAAGCCATTGGGTGGCTCAGCCAGGAATAGGTATGAGGAAGCCATACCAAGAGATCCCTCAGTGGAAGGGCAAGGAAATTTCAGGCAAATCTTCCCATCATTCAATTCAAGCTTACTTCATATCCTTATGCAACTTGGAATCATTAATTCACTCTTTGATCATTCACTCAACAAATGATTATTTGTGCCAGGCACTATTCTACCTGTTAGGGTTTCCAAGTACAAAAACAAACCAAATGCCTGCTCCCATGACTATTACATTCTGGTGGGAGGATTCAGACATGCAATGGGCAAACAGAGTCATATAATAAATGGCAGTAAATGCTGTAAAGAAAAATGAAGCATGGTAATCAGGTTACAGAGGTGCCATTTTAGATAAGGAAGCCAAGTGAGGTGACTTTTAACTTATGGAAAATAGGTCAGGATCATCAGTCTTCCAAACATCTTCACTCAGAATTCTTTTTATTGTTGTTGTTGTTTTCTTGTTTAAGTTCAAACCATGACAACTTCCTCTACTCCATATGCCCTCACTGATATCTGGTGTTTGTTCTCCATTATTCAGATTGGTAAACTGATACCCATAAGGATTAACTGACCCAATCTAAAACCTAACTAAGCTGGAAGAAAAACAACAAAAAGAAATATATCTATCTGTTGCTCTCATCCACAGAATTGCTGGGTTAAATACAATATTGACACAGAAAATTTCCTGGACTAGGAGTCAAGAGAAGAGGTTGAAGACCTCTCTCTCTGCCTACCAATTATTAACTGAGTGTGTAAGGCAGATGATTTAGCCTCTCTACCATCAGTTTCCTCGTGTGTAAAATGGGCTAATCATACCTGCCCTGGATATATACCAGGTTGTTTGCAAGATTAAAAGAGAGAACAGATGCAGTACTTTGTAAACTAAGCACTCTATAAATGCAAGGTATAATTACCAACTGCTTGGGTACATTTAAGAGGACTAATTGCCAGTGTTCAGCTACTTATTATGCAGCCAAGAGTCAAAGAAGGCTATGGAGTGAAAGACTTCATGACCACTAGTGCTCCCTGGGGGTGATTTCTAGCTGCTAAAATTTGAAGACTCCCTGGAAGTTTGGAAAATTTTAAGGTTGTTTTTGTTTTCTTTTGTGTTTTGTTTTTCCGGTTTCCATCTTTCCTTGACAGTAATGCCTTTTTGCTCTTGTTTGACAACTTAAGACCAATCAGGAATATGCTGCTATAATTTTGATCTTGAGTGTCCTCCAATGTGTTAAAGGCTTTGTCCCCAAGGTGGTAGAACCTTTAAGACTTGGAACCTAGAGGGAGATCTTTAAGTCATTGAGGGGTATAGCCTCAAAGGGCACTGTGGGACCCCAACCCTTTGTCTTTTTCTTTGCTCCCTGGTCATGAATTGAACAGTTTTGCTCTACCACATGCACCTGCCATGATGTGCTGCCTCACCATAAGCCCCCCAAAATAAAGCCAGTCATGGACTGGAACCTCCAAAACAGTGAGCTAAAAATAAACATTTTTTCTTTATAAGTCATCTCAGGGATTTTGTTACAGTGATAGAAAGCTCCTAATACACGTGCCTTCCTTATAACTCCTCACTGGCCACCGAATGAGGCACTGGCCTATACATCACATCAAAGATACGGGCATCTCTGCCTTCAAAAACTAAGTTCAGAACAGTCAAAAAGTTACCAGTAGAAGCACATTTCAGAGCTGAGAAGGCTGAGGAATTTATGCACCATTTCATTCAATAGTATTCTTAGTGCCAGGTACTGCTCTGAACAAATAAGAATGACACAGAGCCAAAAAAAAATTCTCTGTCCTCAGAAGCTTGTGGTCTCAGGTCAAGAGGTTTCCACAAGGTGTGCTAACTTACTGAGTTAGGCAAAGGGATGTCCAGACCTGGGCTGAATAGTGGGGCAAGGGCTCTGAAAAGGCTAGCAAGTTCTGCCATTTACTGACCACTAAGGATAGTTGGGACAAATTTTTGCACCTCTCCAAGTTTCCATTCCTGATCTGTAAGATGAAGATAAAAATGGTACATATCCCCTAGGGACAGTAGAGGTTCAAATGAGTTAAAACATGTAAAGTATGTGGCAGGAAGTTTGACGCACAAAGTAGGGCTCCATAATTATTTTAAGATTGTTACCTTTAACCTGGGTCAAGTTTAGCCCTCTGAGTCTCAGTCTCCTCATAAAATATGAAAAATAATAACTAGTTTGTATGGTTATTATGAGAGGATATACATATCAAAGGGATATATAGCCCTTGGCATAAAGGAGTAGCTAACCACTGACCTGTCTCACTCTAGGCCCCTTTTAATCAAACAAGCTGCTCCAGGGTGGGGGTGGGGAGATGAAGACTGGGAGTAGTAAGAAAGTGGGAGAAGGGAAGGAGGGCTGCCATTCTATATTCTTCATCTATTTTTTTTTTAAGTGTGGTCATTGCTAGGGGGTACCTGCATCTTACGCAACATTGTTGGAAAGTTTCAAGTCTTCAGAAAAGTCAAAAAAATTGTACAGTGAGCTCCATGTTCAGGTTCATTTTGGTATATTTGGTACATGTGTCTATTAATCCTTGATTTTTTTTTTAATATTAAGTTGAGAGGCCAGGGTTGTGGCTCAGTGGTGGGAGTGCTTGCCTAGCATGCACGTGAGGCACAGGGTTCAATCCCTGGTATTACATAAAAATACACAAATAAATATTGTGTCCATCTACAGCTAAAAAAAAAAAAAAAGAAAAAAGAAATTTTAAAAATATTAAGTTGAAGCATTTTGAAGGTATCATTAAATAAAAAGCCTTTGTTTCCCCTCCTGACACCACACCAAAGCTTTAGTCCCCTGATTCCCTGGCCATTCCTTCCAGCATCAGATGAATACTCACAAGTCTTGCACTGCCCCACAGTAATCCCCGAGGCCACACCTCATGGAGGGACAATTAACAGCCTTAAATTTTGGAGTTTTCCACAACAAAGCAACTCTCTGGCAGACCCCAACCTTCAAATAAATTGGAATAATGAAACCAAGGACCACTATAAGCAGGCACGGCTGGGCTTGATGTTCTGTCTCAATAACTGCATTGAGAGGATTCAGGCAGGCTCTACTGGCCACTAAGTCCCTCCACAGCTCTGCACATTCCTTCTCTTGTTAGATGCCACTCCTGAGTCACTAGACTGGTGAGTCATGCCCAGTAGGCGAGGCCATCTTGAGAGCAGATCGAAGAGAATTTTCAAGAACAACAGAGTGAGACTCTGAACTCAAAGGGAATAAGGATTCTTATTGTCCTGGCATTTAAAAAAAGGGGGGGGTGGGGTGGGAAACAACCCTGCTGTAATATTGGGGGTTAAATCTCTAAGCTGCAACTTTTACTCTGAAGAAAGACTGGCACAGAAAAATAAAATTAAATTAAAAACACTTCTATAATTCCTTTGAAACTTTTGTGGCACTTTTATTTCTTGCTTAGTGGACAGGTAAGCAAAGAGAGACCCAGAAGATACATCCCTTACTAGACAGACCAAATGTCTTTCTGATGAGGCTGGAGCCTCTTCTAGCTTCATCATTCATTCCCTAAACATGCCAGGGTGAGGTGAAGGAGGGTGGCTTCCCCTCCTCCATCCCACCTGCTCTTCCTCAGTCCAGCCAGGGCTCTGGTTTGCTCAGAGCACCTAAATGACCATAAAGAGGTGAGGCAAAGAGAGAAAAACTGCTGATGTGTTGGGGGTGGGGTGGAGGTGTATGATTAGGGAATTAGCCACAGAAGAGAGCAACACCGCTATAAGAAAAGCTGGTTAGGGCTGGGGTTGTAGCTCAGTGGTAGAGCCTTGCCTAGCACATGTGAGACACTGGGTTCAATCCTTAGCACCACATAAAAATAAATAAATAAAATAAAGGTGTTGTGTCCATCTCCAACTAAAACAATTATTGAAAGAAAGAAAGAAAGAAAGTCAGACCAGTTAAAGTCCTGTGACTTCAAACTACCAGGCAAGGGGAAGGAAAGTGATATATGAAGCACCTCCTACCTGCCAAGTGATTTTCTATTGCCATTGTCATACATTTATCAAGAACTTATCGGTCAAAGAGTATCTTTAAGGATGCTCACAGCAGGCTACCTGGATTTGAATTCCAGGGTACTAGCTGTGTAACTTTGGAAATAAAAGAAAGGTTCTCTCTGCTCTACCTTTCCTCATTTATAAAGTAGGGATTACTGTAAGAATAAAAAATAAAATAAAAACATGCACTGTTTCAGACTGTGGCTGTCATACAATAAGAGTGGAAACAAGTTAACTCTTGCCCGTCCCAGTTTTCTAGATGAGGAAAAAAATGAAGTAAAAAGAGTCAAGGTCACTTGCCAAGACCAGGGAGGGGAAGGAAATCATCCCATTATTTTCCTTTTATTGGTGAAAGCTTGGGAGTCCAGGAGGGTCTGATAACATATTCAGTACACAGTTAGCAAACAGAAGAACTGAGTTAAGCCCACATTTGCTGGCTTGAAAGCCCTTGCTCATTCGGCAGGTCACA